CAAATGGCCTCACACAAAGTAGCACTTAATATATGTAAATTTTTATTGTTGTGGTTATTCCAGGTCATTCCTTCTATAAAAATGTCATGTCTGCAAGCCAGGCACTGTTTTGTGATGGAAATATCAGTAACAATAAAAAAGGCACCATCCTCACTCTCAGGAGAGACAGACAATTATATATAATCACGACACTGTGTGATGGATGTTGTGATAAGTAAAGAGAAGGACTCCTGACTTATATAGAGGTGGTCAGGTAAAGCTTTCTGGAGGAAGTAACATCTGAATTGGAGCATAAAGGAAAATTGGAAGTGGACAAAATAAAGAAGACTGAAGAGTGTTCCAGGCAAATGTAGCAGACGTTTGTGAAAGGAAATCACCTTTAAGGAAGTGGACAGAAACACAGTCTCAATGAAATGTAAAATTTAAAAATGAGGAGACTACTTCTATACAGAGAAGGCAAGGTTGGCAGGAACACTTCTCAAGGCCTTTGAAAGTCAAGTTTACATCCCCTCCAAGGCAATGGGAGCCTGCAAGGGAGCTAACAAAACTCAGGTTTATGTTTTGAAACTATTTGTCTTATTCTAAAAGGAGACAAGACTGTTGTAAGGAAACAAGTTAGTAGGTTTTTGCAATAATGTGGCCAAATTAAGTGGTCTAGATTACATAAAATTAATGAAATGCCATGGCATTAATGGGAAATGAGAGTTGTGGATAAAATTAAGTGTTATTTATAAGATAAAATCAGAAATTTAATATTGGATATTTATAACGTAAGACAGAGTGACTGGTTTACCCAGACAGATGTGGCCTGTTGACCTAGTGTAATTATTAATTGTACTCTGTTCAACTCTCAGAAGCGTTCTAGGCAGAATATCTCAGTTTTCATGTGGAAATGACTTTAAGACCTCTGAGTGGAACTGTTGATAAGTAGCTAAATACCTGTTTCTGGCCCTCCAAAAGAAAAGTGAGGAGGTTAGAGAGGGAGATTTGGGAATCATCAGTTTATGGAGGGTTGTTGGAGCCATGTGAGTAGATGGGAGATTGTAGTGAGAAGAGCAATCCTGTGGAACATTAAACCTTAGGCACAGGCAATAAAGATGAGCTTTGAACCAGAGTTTGTATGCTAACTGCAAACAATTCTCA